CGATACAGTACTCTTTGTTCCAGACTTTTGGTATAGGTAGGATGTTTGTCTTGTACTCTATGTTGAGATGCTCTATTCGTGTATCTAAAATTGCCTTCTCGAGCTTATCTATACTTTGTCCTGTGTCCTTAGAGCCTTTTCTGAAAATTCTTCCCAGGACCTTAGCTCTGCTATAAGTTAGCGATTTCGTAGCTTCTTTTCTGATTTGGCTTTTTGAGTCTTGTATTTTTGTTGAGGGAATATGCTTGCTTGCTGCTGTTTGTATTGCCTTAGCTATTAGCTCCCATTCTTCATTAATATCTGTTTCAGGCTCTATTTCTTCTTGGTTTTCTTCTCTTCTTTTTTTCCTCTTCTCTGCATTATGAATGATTTTTTCCACTTCTTGACTATAATTGTTCCAATCTTCTTCCATGGTCTTGTGGTACTGATAAAGTCTTCTTGTTTCTTTTTGTCCTCTTTTGCTTCTCTGCTTGTTCTTTTCTAAGATACCTGCACTATCTAATTGTAACCAGACTATTCCATGATCACTATCTGTTACCGTTTCCATTAGTTCTATATTACTATCTAAGATGACATTCCTCATATCCTGTATTGTCCAGATATGATCTATTCTAGTTGATACGTTACCATTTGACCATGAATATTTAATTAACTCTGGGTTGCAGAATCGAAAGGTTTCTATATGGTCAGTATTTTTAAGCCATTTTGTAATTCTTGTACCAGTATCTGCATTTCTTCTTCCTTTGCTACTCGTATCTAGTCTCTTATTAAGTACTGTGTTAAAATCTCCTAAAATCGTATATATTGTATTTTTCTTGTTCCTGACAATTTCTTCTATAAGTATCTTGTGTACTTTTTTCGTTACTTCTTCGTTTTTAGGGGGTAGGTATACCATCCAAACTTGAAAGACTACTCTTCTGAAGAAAAATTCTGCTTTGAGCAGGTATGGGCTAAACCTTTTGCAGACTCCCATATTTTTCAACCAATTTTGATCTACTAATAGCCTGATTCCTGACCCTTTATGTTTTCCTTTTTCTGTTTCTGACCAGAAGCTTGAATAACTGTATTCTTTCGTGTTTATCCATTTGCCTTCTTGTTCACCTATATTAGTTTCTACTATTCCAATTATGTTGTATCCCTCTGACTTACCATACTCTGCTAGTAGTTCTACCTTTGTATTATCCCCTTTAATTCTGTTAATATTGTGTGTACCTATTTTTATACTTACTTGTTTTACTTTGCTATTCCTGTTATTCTTACATGACTTTCTGCTCCCCTCACTTCTTTCTGTACTTCCCCTGTGCTTTGCCTTGTTTTGGTTTATAGTTGTATCTGCTCTATGTTGTCTTTCAAGTTTTCTTTCTTGATTGACTAGAGCTTTCGTTCGTTCAACTTTGGCACCTTTCAGGAACGATTTGGAGCCTCCAGGCTCCAGTTATCTTCAAAGCTGCTTAGTTTTCTTTCCAAGGCCTGGATACATTGAGCCATATCATTATAAGATTCTTTGTGCATATTTTCATTGTGACGTTCTCTTCTTCTGTTCTCTGTATAAGCTACATCTTACTTTTCTAACTTTCTGAATGCTTGGTTTTCTAGTTTATTTTCCTTCTCTGAAGTTTTTTTTTCAATTTTGTATAGAAAAGTTTGCTTGTTAGAGGATAGTTCGCATCTTTTAGAGCTTCTTGTGCTTGGTTCATTGTTGTAAGGTTCTTGCTTGTATCTTTCCTTATTAGAGTACTCTTCTATTGGTACTGTTTCAGGCATCTCTCAGAAAAGTCTAGTATCATAATATTTAACAGAATACTTTTGTGCTTGAACTATTTCTTTTTGATTTTTGAACGATACTAATGCATAGCCTTTGTTGTTTCCATTTGAGTTCTTGAAAACATGTACTGCACTTGCACCAGTGTATTTTAGTTGCCTGAACAATAATACTTCATTTATATTTTGTGGTATATTATATAACCTTGCAATGAACTGTTTTCTATTTTCAAGTATCTCTTTTCTGTTTGACTCTGGAGTTATACGTACTAGAAGCTCATTTGTAAGAGGAATGACCCAAGCTTCGATCGCTTGTACAAAACTACTTCCTTTTTCAAAAGATACTTCTGCTCTTGCTTTTCCATATTTTTCTCTTATCATTTCAATATTTTGACATATCCCAAGTGTCTAATCGCAAAAAAGACTTGTGATCTTGTTATATGGTAGGGTATGTCCCACACTGTAATAGTCTCTTCTTTGCTTAGGAGTAGTTCTCTTTCCTTAGTTATATTGTTTATTCTACTCGGGTCTTCATTGCTAGTTGGGAGAGTTTCTTGCTCGTACATTCTTTTTTTCCCTTTATCTTTTGTAACTAATACTTTCCTTTCTTCTGCTTGGTTATATGCTGTCTCTGTTTTCTTTTTGCTTGCACTACTTGTTGAGCACTCCCCTCTTTCAGTTTAGTTATACAACATAGACCTCTTCTTTAGAATTTCTGCTAGTTCCTTCTTTGCTTGAGTCTCTCTTTCCTCTTTTTCTTTTACTTTGCTTTGTGTAGCTTTTTCTTTCTTTGAGTTCTCTTTTTTAACCTTTTCCTCAAGTATTAGATTTAACTGGTCAAATTCATCCTTTTTTTTTTCCAATCTTGACTTAGCTTCTTTGTAACCTTTTTTGCAGTCGAAGTAGATAATGCACTATTGGTTTCCATTTACGAATTTTTCTTGAATCGCTTTGATATGCTTGTTTCCTCTTAGAGACCATCTTATTGACTTTTCTCTTTGTTCTGCATTATCTCTGAGAATCTTGACTGCTGCTACTTTAGCTTTGACCTCTCCTTTGTTTCTACACGCTTCTGGGTTAGGTGCCCATAAACTACAATCTAGAGATGTGCTGCTATGTTTTGCTTTTCCTATCTCCACTAGTTGTTCTAATCTATCTTCTATTTCATTTTTACATACACATATTTCTATACTATTTTTTACTAGTTGGATGTTTTCCATATTTTCTGGTGCTTTAGTTCTTTCTGTTATCCTTTCTTTGCTAATTATCTCTTCTTAGTGTATACTAATCTGTCTAATATTTTCATGTGACTCTAATCCTTTAACTCCTTTTGCTTCTATAGTTGGTGCCTCTTTGATTCCCATTTCTATTTCTTGTGTTGTTTCACTTAATTTTCCTAGTTGCATAACTGCTGATTCTTGCTCTCTTCCTAAGACTTCTTTAATTCTGTCTATTCCTTCTGTGAAAGCAGCTCTTTCTAGTACAACACGCCATTGTCTTGCTAGAGTAATGATACTCTTATCGACATTCATAGCATTTGCGACTATTTCATCTAAGTGGTCTGCTAGTCCTAACACTGAAATACTACCTTCCTGGATGATTTCTCTACCATACTCTTTGGTTATTTTTTAATGAAGTGCTTAAATCTTTCTGTATTCCACATCTTATTCTTTGATCTAATTTGTAAGCTAGATTTCTTCTATTTTTGATCTATTTTCTTAAAGTGACTTCGTCTTTTTGACCAAATTCCCTGAGTTTTTTCCTGTTTACCTATGCTTTTTCCAGTTTCTGTTGTATATACTTTCTTTCTATTGGTTGGCACATGACACGTCTTGTTAGTTTTCGAATCATGTTTGTTTGTTTATACCGTTTTCTATGTATTTGTGTTACAATAACTGATCTATGATTCAGGATAATTCCAAATCCCCAAAAAATAACAAGAAAAAATTTTTTCCGTCAAAGTTTTCTGTTTCTAGTTTTAAAGTGGTCTATTTAGTTTTTTCTTGCTTTTGTTCTTTTAGTACAATATGTGTACTTTTTAGTTCTCTTTCTTTTTGCTTAGTGCTCTAAGTACTGTTTCTTAGTAAACTTTTTAAGTTAACTTGGTTTTTCTCTTAGTTCCGAATTTGGTCAAAATGATCTATGGGGAGAGTGCATGGAAAAGTTGTTAATACGAAATGTATTTTATTCAAAAAATCAGTTAATTTTAAATATAATTTCATAAGAAGCTATATATTTCTGTTACACACTTCTGTACATATGTATTATACCAGTATAATACAATATATTACACTTAATTCTAACTCTCTTTAGCAACTCAAGTGCCTAGTTCATTAATAAAATTTAATTTTATACATATCATAGGTGAACTTTAATCTAGATCATTATAAATATATTTTAAAGTTCTCTGTGAAACATAGTATATAACTTAAATTATGATTACGAGAACTAAAATTCAGCAAATTGACCCAAATTCCAGTTGCTAAACACTATATATTGTTCACTATAGTTCAGAGTGATGTACAGAAGGTCTGCTGTAATTATTTTTACTATATATTTCATGGTATAGTTTGAAATTTTATGTGCTTATTGTAATATTTAATGAAAATCTTTGTAAAAAAAAATATATGATTTTCGAGATTTCATGATTATATCAAGTTTGTTTTTTGTTTTTTGTACATTTTCATTTATCTTAAACCAAATAATATCCTATAAGCTGCATTGTTGACACAATACTCATACTTACTTTAATGCCTGGTAAAAATTCCAAAAGCTTATTTATAGTCTTAATCATTTTATAAATTAATATATAAATTCAGGATTAACTTTTTAAGTTGGATAAAAAAAAATTCATTTTAATCATTTGGATGGATTGAAAATTTCATTTTAACTTTTTAGTATATTTATAAATTTAGTAAAGTTCTATTTTTAATTAATCTTAATGAGGACTATATTTTAACTTAAAAAAAAAAAACAGTATCTGATATCAAAGTATCAAATTTTAATTAAATTAGGATAAAAACAGTTTAACATTTAAGACTGTACATGTTAAATGGGTATTATAATACACCGTAATTAATTAGTATATAAAGAATATAAATAATGTGATTATAATTGTGAATTATTGTAAATATTATTATTCGCCAGCGACTCTTTAAATAGATTCTCAAAAGTATGCATTCAAAGCAAAATTATAGAGCAAAACTAGTTTGCCCTTTTAACACTATAAAAGCTCCTCATCATGACTCTTCAGAAGCATTATTTCCGTTAGCCGTAAATGGTTCAATTTCATTATTCATATTATGTATTGAATGACGAAGAATTGAAGGAACAACTTGTAAGTGTGATGAATATATTTGTTCGTGACAGATGGTTTGCGATTCATTTATGGTTAAAGTTGTATAAAGTGTTGATGTATTTTCTTCAAAAGTTCATGTACTAACGAGAGTTTAATACATTGTTCTATGTTTTTAAAAGAGGTCACTCAAATTATGATTAGCATCTTTAGAATATAATAATAAATCATTAATACAAATATTATTATCAGAAATAATTTCCAATTGTAGGCTTATATAATTAATGAATTTGCTAGTATAAATCGAGGTAATTAGTAAAGTAGTACAGTATGATAGTATAAATATATATGGACGGATAAAAATTGAGCAAAATTTTGATAGTACGTACGCTAAAAAAACATCTTTACTAGTACGTACGCTAAAAAAAAAAATCTTTACTAGTACATATGAATAGTTTTTTATGCTTTAGTATATTTGACATTTTTTTAATAAATGAGTGATACAAAAAAAGTAAACCCTTGAGTTTTAAAATATCAAACTTAATTTTTGAAAAAATACATAATTGAGTTCGATTCCTTAACAATACTCCCATATTACTGTATTAATATAAAGCTAACATTTCATATTACAATTTTAATTTATTTAATTGCAAGTGAATAAAAGAATAAGTGTATTTAATTTTAACTAAACACACAGATAAACTTATTTTTTTAAAATAAATCTAAACTATCTAGAATTACAAACTCAGGCTTGCTTTTAACTTCTGATTTTGTAATTCAATAGCCTTCGCTTCAGCAGCTTCTTTTCTATTTCTAGTTTGATATTCTAACAAAGCAATTTTTTTTTCTTCTAATTCAATATCCAATAGTAAATCATTCGAATGGTTATTTTGTAATATAGATATTCCTTTATTATTATCTTTTGGTTCTATTTCTATTATGTTAATTGCATCCTATAAACTAGTTTTATAATGTAATCTTTTATTATTACTGTTAGCAGTGGAAGTTTTTCTTTTATGCCCATTAGTGCTAGTAGACTTATATCGTGTTGCTAAATAAAAATAAATAAATAAATAAAAAATTAGTATATGCATTTTAATAAATAAGTGTAAAATAAATATTTGCCTTTTCTATTTAATGCATTTTGTTGCCATTTAACTTTACTTTTGTCATTTCTTGTATATGGGATACCTGAGTTCTTGTAAGTTTCTTTAATTTTTAATAATCTTTTATCATATCGCTTTCCACTAAATAAATAAATTAATAGTTTTGTTATAATTAATTTTTATATTATTTAATTAATAAAATTATTATTACTGTAAAATAGCTGATAGAAGTTTTAACTATTTTCCCTCTTTATTTACTAAAGCATGAGCTGCTTCTGCTGAATTTGTATTATTATTATGTCTTATTCAAATATCATATTCCATTCTAGATATATGCATATTTAATGATGAAATAATCCAAGGTATTTTATAGTAATTAACCCATTCTATATAATAAATTTTAAATTATTATTAGTATATAATTTATTAAAAAATTATTTAATTTATTTACCTTTTACACCTAGTTCATTTGATAATTCAATTTTGTTTAAAATTGATTCTACTAATTCTCGTGAAGATGCATTAAGAATTGATTTTACTAAATTATTAACTTCTTGTAAAAAATGTTTGTTAAACAAATTTCTAATTATATTTATTAATATAAAATAAATAAATGATTAGTATTAGTTATCTATATCTTAAAATAATATATATAATATTTATAAATTATAGTGATAATTACCTTTTAAAATAAACAATACATGATTTAAATATATATATCAAATGCATTTCCCAATTTAGAGATGAATCTATATTAGATAGTACAAGTCCTAAACCCTTGGCTTATGCATTATCTAAATCTCCTAATATACATTCCCAACTCTTATGATGGATATGATAGATATATAAATTCTTATTTGTAAGTTCTTGGATTGTTTCAAACAATGCACAAAATAATTTTTTATATCTATTAGCAAATGATACATTTGTATATATTCTACAATAATTTAAAACTATATATATATTATTTTATTTATTAATAATATAAATAAATTGATAAAATAACAAAATATATATAATAAATATTATCAAAAAATTTCGGACCAACTCTTCCCATTGATCCTCTGACCACTTTTTTCCGAAAAGAAAACCTGACCTGCAAAAACACTTTTTTATTATACAGATAACAATATTCTTTCCTAAGTGTTCTACGACGTATTGTAGGTGAATACCTTCCTTGCAAGCTCTTTTTAGTCATATTATCTAGAAGTAATTTCTTGGGTACTATCGAAAAAGTAGTAGCAGAAGCAAGAAAAATTGTCAAATATCTCT